GGCCAGGCTGGTTTCATGAACCACTCAGGTCCAGAGGGAAATGTGCTGGAAAGGCTGACCTTAAAGTTTAGGTCCTGCCCAGGGTCTGCAGGGGGCCGCTTGAAGTTCCATCCTCTCTAATCCTGTCCCAGCCCCTTGTGAACCCCCATCCTTGCGCTGCCTCTGCTGTGCGTGCCCTGACTTCTGCCCCGCTTACTCTTCCCCGTCTCCCTGACAGGCCCCTCCCATTGCCTAGATGCTGTAATGAAAAAAATCTTACAATTATCCTTAACTGTTTTCCTCTTAAGTCAATCCTTCTGAGGCTACTTTTTAAATATATCTCAAATCCAAACACGTGTTACTTCCTGCTGCCACCTTGGTCTGCCAGGGTCTGAACCAGGGTGACTACAGTCGCCTCCTAACTGGTTTCCCTGAGGCCTAAGTCCACTCTTGGTACCTGACTAGTCTTCACAAAGGGCCAGAGGGGCCTCGTAAAACATAGGTTACATCACATCACCTTCCTGCTCAAAACCCTCCACGGGCTTCCCACCACCCTTAACATGAAATTGTACATCCTCACAGTGGCCCATGAGCCGCTGTAGGATGTGGGCCTGCCTCTCCCTGTGACCCCAGCTGCCACTACCAGAGGCTGTTTCACTATAAAGCTAATGAGTTTGGGCTCAGGGCTGTTTGTTTGCAAGACCATTCCAAAGCCCTGTACCTAATTTTGTAGGCATGTGTTAGATTGTTTTTCCTAAGGAGAACCCCCTCCCCACCAATTTAATAAGCTTCAGACTTATTAAATCTAAATTCATGCTTGCTTTCCACTCTTCCTTCACATGTTCCCGCCTGGCCATACTGATGACCAAAAAGCAAAGGGCCCCCACCTCAGGGCCTTTGCACTTGCCGCTTCCTTTGTTCAGAACTCTTTTCTTTAATCTTCTGTAAGTGAGGGTCTCCTTTTCTCACTTAATTCAGAAGTCTGTGCAAATATCCTCTCAATAAAGCCTTTCTTTCCTGACAGCCATAGAGAAAAATATCTTTCCCTCATTATTTTCTATGTATTCCTCTTGCTTTATTTCTGCTCATGGCATTTATCATGACCTGGAATTTGTTGTGTATTTGTTTAGTAACTCAATTGTGTCTGCCTCCCATATTATAAAGCACAAGCTCTACAAGGGCAGGGATTTTATCTTGCCTGTTTTTGACTCTCTAGAACCTAGAACAAGAGCCTGGCACAAAGTAGGCACCTAATTAGGATGAATGGGCCGTGATGGAAAGTAATCATTACAACAATATTATTGGTGGCACTGGATGGTTCACAAACCCTCCCACATCCATTTCTCACTTGATCCTCCTGACAATCCTGGGAGCTAGTTTTTTGGCCAGTAATATGTATAAAAGCCCATTCATGCCAGGTGCCAGGCACTGGGCCGGGCACTCCGCTGTGATAAGGCAAGAGTGGGTCCTGCCCTCCTGGAGCTCACAGACAAAAGCCCCTATTTCTTCACCTCTTCTCATTTCGTGCCTTTCATGATGCCTTTCTGTCATTGTAGTGGGGCTTCCCTTGACCTGCCTTAGTCCCATCAAAATGCTCTTGAGCTGTAGTGATCAGAATTTGCACACAGCATGTTGGGGGCAGATGAACCACGACGTACAAATGTACATATTTGCATCTGACACACTACATGACATTCTGGTGGATTTCTCTTATTACTGCACTTATGATGACTTCTCTAATTTTGTTAGCCTTCCTTTGTGCATTGTAGATCATGCAAAGCTATGATATAGATGTGAAAAAGAGTCATTCACCTCTTCATCTGCCCAACCACCAAACACTTATTGATGCCTGCTTTGTGCCAGGCATTGTGCTACGAACTGAAGATCCAGAACTGAATGATGCATGGCCCTCAAAGAAGCTCATAAAAAAACAGACTTTCAAGCAAAGAATTTTAATATATTTCAATATGTTACTGCAATCCTGGAAGTAAAGTATATGGGGTACTGGGGTGGCATACTTTGCTTTGTGGAAAAGGATTGCTATAAGAGAATTTACAGGACCTGTCACTCGGAGAGAACAGTGGCATGTGGGAACCAGCGAGACCAGGGCAGAGAGAATTAGGAAAGTTGAGTAGATAAGAGATTGTGTTGAGGGTGAAGAATGAGTGAGACTGAGAAAGCAGGAGCACAGGGAGTCCAAGACAGAGAGAGGGGGTTCATGATGCAGGAACGTGGTGCCGTATTGAGTGACAGTGAGTTTGTCATTGTGGTGTAGCTGGTGGGTAGAGGAGGTGATGAGGCCAAGGACTGTAAGGGAGGGCATGACAAAGGTCGTCAAAAGGAGCATAGAGGCCCCTCATTACTAGAATGTTCTATGTGAGAGGGAAAATAGCGTGGCTGTGAAATAAACCAATTATCTAATGACAAACAACATTTTTTGTCTCTTTCAAAGAGATGATACAGTTTGTATAAGATTACAATCCAGTTAAGATATGTCTATGTGGGCTAGTTCCAAGGCTGAAATATTAAAATCATTTTATTACTCCTGAGAGTGATAATTATGTTGCATATTGTAATTACAAGCAATAAATTTAATTTTTCTAGCAGTCTGAATATGACTGATCAAAACAATACCAAAACAGTGTTGCTGAACAGCTAAATGAGGGTTGCTTTGAACGACTCTGCAAAATAATCTGTACAGCCCTCCCATGTCCTTTTTTGTATGAGGATTCTCTTTAGGGCTTTGGAGATTATTACCAAGCTTTTTCTTGGCTTAAAGTCTGGGGTCTGGAGCCAGGCTGCTAGCCTTTGAATCCTGACTCTTCCACATACTAGCTGCATTGCCTTGGGCTAGGCAGTTATTAGCATCTCTGTACCTCGGTTTCTCATCTGTAAAATAGGGATTATAGTGGCACCACCCTCTGAGCGTTAAATGCGTTAATATCTGTATGGCACTTGCAGAAGTGTCAGGGCAGATAAGTACTCAATAAATGTCAGTTTTCATCATCATCATATCATTCTCATCAGGCTGGAAACACTTTCAAAACCCACCTCTATGTAAGCTATCTTCTGCCCAAATCACCAATCTAACATTTTATTACGACTGTTCCACATGGCCACTGAGTAAAGGAATGTGGGTGTATAATTACCGCATTTACCCTCAGCAACTGCCATTGCTTTGGAACTGGCAAAATATTCCTTTTGTGCATCATCCCTTTCGATCAACATTTTGCAAAAACAGGCAGAGCAATTCTTTATTTGATGTAAATATTTTTCAAAATACCAATTCTACACCTGGTACAAATAATTTTCATTTAAACAAAGTTGGATCTTGCTATTGCATTTCTCATGTTTTCTTAATTTCATTAAAATGTAAATTTTCCCAGATCAGCCCTAGATTAGAATTTACAGTTGACCAACAGAGAAGGAAACAGTTAACATGAAGTTTAGGAGAAAGGGTGCAGAATTCTTTAGCGAGAGACTAATACCTACGGTTAACCAGTATTTTCTTCATGAAGAATGAAAAACCTTCTGGCAGGTCTTGGAGGAGAGACGACTCACCTGATTGTGATAGTAACCAGGCACTCCGAGTTTGCAGGCCTCCAGGTTGAGAGGTTCTTTAAGATTGTTCATAACACAGCACTGACGAGGCCAGGGATAGTCAGCATCGTTATTCTCCGTCCGGAAGGCAGATGTGTATTTCTGCCAGTCTGATGGACCATTCACACCACAGCAATTGTCCTGTCGGCAGATGAGAGAGAGAAAATTCTCTTCCATGATCCTTGCTAGACTCACCAATGTAGCGACTGAGATTTTATGGAGAAAGAAGATATGGAAAGTGTACCATATCTTAAGGTTTACCAAAAATCCCCAAACGAGAACTGAAGGTATTTTTAAGGTATTTCATTTTAGCAATTACAAAATACTTTTACATTTATTAGTTTAGTAGCCATTAATGAGCTCTAGAGTCTTTGACAAGTTAAACTTTCTAAGCCTCATTTTACTTAACTGCAAAATTGGGACAAATGTAGTATTTACCTCATAGAGTTGTGTGAGGATTAAATAAGTTAATACATTTAACGTGTTCAGCACAGTGCCTGGCCTATTGTAAACCCTTAATAAATGTCAGTCATTATTAATGCTAATATCCTGATACAACAATGTTAGAGAATTATAATTATTCTCATATTACATATGAGCAAATTGAGAATCAGAAAATTAAAATTTTGGTGGTGAAGACATTATGAGTTATTCTCGTTTTACTTTTCTACACTTACAACATTTTCTGGAGCAATTAAATATTATTATTTTTTAAATAAGATCCTTTTTCACTTTTTTTGTTTTGTTTTTGTTTTAGAGAGGGGAGGTAATTCGGTTTATGTATTTATTTATTTTTAATGGAGGCACTGGGTATTGAACCCAGGACCTTGTGCATGCTAAGCACATGAGCTGTACCCTCCCCTGCCCCATGTTTTATTTTTATAAGGGGAGAAAATAAACTGGAAGAAAATAACCAAAACCTGATGGCACACAGGTATGAATTTACATAGGAAAGGAAGATCTCCTAACACATAGCTCATATCCTTACACTCCAGATAAAACTGAGGATAAAGGATAAAACACAGTGTATATCAGTTTCCTACCTTTTTATAAATTATGCTAAAATGCTTCTAGGGGAAGAAATTAAAACTATGGCATCTCTCAACTGTTAGAATAAATATATCCAGCAAACTTGGTGATAAAGCAACTGCCTTAAAAGTGTATCCTGTTTGCCACTGGATTATGGAAATTATCTCATTCTGTAATTTGACCTGAGCATTTTGGGGGGAAATGGTTAAGTCTGAACCAGACTTACTTCAGACTGGGCTTTAAAAAAATGGTAAGTGGATTTTTCAAGTGTGTGAGCATTCACATTTTCATTTGAAAAGTTTAGTTCTTTGCTAAGAGTGGAAAAAATACTTGACCTATAGTCAGAAGAGTGATAGGAAGTGAAAAAGTGGCCTATACATTGGAGGTCCTAATGGGCTAAAAAATGATAGAACAGGAATATTGGAATCAATGAAGGGAACTGTAGAAGATGATGGTAAAGAGAGTTCAAAGAAGGGTGGAGGCTCTAAGGGAGTTTGCTGATGACGGACTGTGAAGCATCGGCGGTTGGGTGGGGAGGGGACGTAGGGGGTCGTGGGAGAGTTGGGTCACATGAGGGCTTATGTAGGGGATAAGAATTTATATACTTACACAATGTAGGGGTGATAGTGGGTATTCTGAAAGACTTGTACTTTTGTTAGTACCTGAGGTAAACTTGGAATAAGGTATGACAAATTAGTGAAAACTGAATGATCAAATCAAGTCACAGCCCATGGTCCTTAACAAGGTAAGCTACAGGTGTGAAAATGTACTAAAGAAGCAAAATAGACAATCATTGCCACTTGAATTCATTGTGGGGTGGAGGAGCAACAATTTTTTGATGTAAGTGATGCCTGAATTCTAAGAAGTAGAGCGTCTGATTAATCCAAATTTCTTGACAAGGTCATTTCTCATAAATGGAAGCTCATCAACATCATGGCTTAAAATACAGATCTAGGGGTTCCACTGAGTCACGTGTGCACCCCCAGTCCCTGCCAGTAAATAAGCGGAATAGAACCTGTCTTTGTCAAGTCTCTTTTTGAAGGAAGCCCTCTGGAGGCTGCAGTCCGCACACTTTGACTTCACTCTCAGCCATGCATGCACCTCTGGTAAATGGTTTAGGTACAAAGTGGCATTGCCCCACGACGGCAACCATTACCTGGAGCATGAGCCGGTCCCAGGTCCTGGTGACTCCATTGTTTTTCCACTGGTCATCGTTGTTTGGAGGGCTGTTGTTTTGGTACCTCTCCAGCATCTGCTTCAGGAAGAGGTTGCGTGTGAACTACGGTGGGAGGAGGCAACACAAGAGGAAGAGTTAACACGCAAATCGTCAAGGAGACAAAGCGATTTGCTAGACCGGCTGCTGGGGGCACTGAACACTGTCTCTTGGAATAAACCTGTGTTCAGAACCACTGAGTAGGGGTGCGGGCGGGTGTGAGGCTGCTCTGGGAGGCTGAAGTCCTGTGTAGGGAGAAGACTCCCATCTTCAAAGAAACCCTAATGCGACCAGGACAGACAGGCACTATAGGGTGGCTTAGGCTAGAGGACGGAGAAAAGGAGAGAAAGCAGGGTGCTGAGTTGAGAGGAAGTCTAGATGTGGCGGATTATTGATCATCCTCTTGGAAGGCTAGTGGCAGGGCCGAGTGGAGAAGAGCCTGGCCCTGGGACTCACACTGCCTGGATGCAGGATTCCACTCTTTCACCAGCTGCGTAACCTTGGACTTTTCAAGTCACATTTTAATTTTTATCTATAAAATGACAATAGTGTTAATACCTATTTCATAGGGTCATAATGAGAATTAAGCAAAATTGTATGTTTATCATTAAGCAGCATATTACAATGCCTGGTACAGGGTAAGGGCTTAATACATTTCAGTTATTATATTATTGTGACAACAGTGATGATTCATACGATCGTTTCTGCACTATGCTTTTTGAGGCTGTACTCACAAAGTCTCGCTGTGTTGCTGCTGTGATACAAGATGCCACTTCAAAGCCATACACGATAAACATCAGAATGAAATACTGGAAGGGAAACAAAAGGAATGAAAGAATTACATCTACTTCTAAAGAGGTTTTTTTTAAACAAATAATTGCTATGTTTTCAGCAGCATGTTCACCTAAATATAATCACCCAATCATTCACATAATCTTTCATCAAACCTTCACTGATCAGCTGCTTGGAGCCAGACTTGGTGCTAATCAGCTCCATTCTCTTCTTTTCCCGGAGAACAAATGACTAATGAATACAGAGCTTTCTCAGTTCAGTATCCTGCATTTCTATTTTAACTGGGAAAATCAAATACAAGAGAATGGACTCTGTGTGTGTGTGTGTGTGTATGTTTTCAATGGCTGGCTAGAGAGTCTTAGTGTATCACACACTATGTAGAGCCTCATAAATCCCCTCTCATGGGGAGACATTTTCTTTATTGGTTTACTTAAAATTTAGGATTACCAAGGTCAGAATAAGATGAACTGAATTGTGCTTAATATCCATCGTCCCTTCTGATAATGTCCAGTCTCATCAGAGAGGAACAGGCAGCCTCCAGGTACACAGCTCTCTTTCCCCTGGCATCTTCTCTCAATCACCCCACTCTAGTTACATCAGGTCAGGTGGGTGAAACAGAGCGCATCTTGTGTTTCTGTTGGGGTGGTGTGTGTGTGTGTGTG